CACCCCTCATCGTCCCGCCGCCACCGCCAGCCCCCACCGCTCACAAGACACAGGTAAGCAGTCACCAGGGCTTGTGGTGCTCTTGCATCATTCCCCCCCCAAATATACTCCGGCCCCCTACAAGGTCTGAGGGACAGTGGACTGGCCCCCTGCTGAAAAGGTTTGCTGACACATTAGTGTGTCATAGAATCATAGAATCATAGAGTTGGAATAGACCACAAGGACCATCGAGTCCAACCCCCCTGCCAAGCAGGAAACACCATCAGAGCACTCCTGACATATGGTTGTCAAGCCTCTGCTTAAAGACCTCCAAAGAAGGAGACTCCACCACACTCCTTGGCAGCAAATTCCACTGTCGAACAGCTCTTACTGTCAGGAAGTTCTTCCTAATGTTTAGGTGGAATCTTTCTTGTAGTTTGGATCCATTGCTCCGTGTCCGCTTCTCTGGAGCAGCAGAAAACAACCTTTCTCCCTCCTCTATATGACATCCTTTTATATATTTGAACATGGCTATCATATCACCCCTTAACCTCCTCTTCTCCAGGCTAAACATGCCCAGCTCCCTTAGCCGTTCCTCATAAGGCATCGTTTCCAGGTCTAAAAAAGTGTGTCACCACCAACATGAGAAGTTTGGAAAGCTCTGCTATATAGACTGACATATCCCAAGATATCTTTGGGCGGAAGAAGCCTGATTATCCTCTCCCAAAACAACTATAGTGGTACCTCGGGTTAAGAACTTAATTTGTTCTGGAGGTCCATTCTTAACCTGAAACTGTTCTTAACCTGAAGCACCACTTTAGCTAATGGGGCCTCCCACTGCCACCACATGATTTCTGTTCTCATCCTGAAGCAAAGCTCTTAACCCGAGGTACTATTTCTGCGTTAGCGGAGTCTGTAACCTGCAGCGTCTGTAACCTGAAGCGTATGTAACCCGAGGTACCACTGTACTCTATTCCAAATTTAAATATGGAAAGCGTAATGCTGGTGGTCAACAAAAGAGGTTTAAAGACTCTCTCAAGGCAAATCTAAAAAATGTAGTAGAAACACCGACAACTGGGAAACACTGGCCTGTGAACGCTCCAGTTGGAGAACAGCCTTTACCAAAGATGTCATGGACTTTTGAAGACACTCGAACCCAGGACAAAAGGGAGAAATGTGCCAAGAGCTTGGCAAACCCTCACTGTGATCAGCTCCTCCTGGAAACCTATGTCGCCACTGTGGAAGGACGTGTGGATCCAGAATTGGCCTCCACAGTCACTGACGGACTCACTGTTAAGACCGGGTTTATGGCGGACAATCTTCCTCGGCTATGAGTGATTGCCAAAGAAGAAGACGACTCGCCTTTTTTCCTAAGCTTACAAAACCCCATGACAAAAAAGGATTTGGTTGCACAACTCAGCAGGAAGTTTCACCTGGGCCAATGGTCCTTTGAGGCTGATCAGGGTGCAGCCACCCCCCTTAAAGCTCAAACTAGTCTCCAACTCCGACAAGTTATTTTCAAGGGGTTGCCAAGCAAATGGCAAAAGGCCAGGTTCATTGTTCCCAAAGCCTTGTGCCTTTGGCGCCACCTGGTGGCCAAAATCTCCTCTCACCTAGAACCTCTGGCAGCTGGTCTTTTGTTTGTTAATCCATTCCAATGCTAATTGGCTCCATATGTCTTTAGCACTGGAGACTTTAACCATTTGGGGCTCGCTGACATGGTGTTTTCTGGGTTTCTTAAATACTGATTGCCCCAATGCCCAGCGAAATGTCGCACTGTGCCTTGATATAACTAAAAAAAAAGAACTGTCAAGGCAGTGGATGATCAGGCCCATCAAAACAGTAATCAAATCAAGCAACAATTTCTCTATATTTTTTGTATAGGACTCCACATTTGGTAGAGATTGTGTGTGTTTCTGCCGGCATATGTGTGCAGGCATATAGCCACATTAGGCACTTAACAGTTAACAGGCATCCAATTAAGGTCGTGCGCTGTGAATATAATAGGCTTATTAATGGGCAGTGCCTATTCCAAAAGAGAGAGATAGGATTAGACCGGCCAATCTGTGCTTTGACTAGGAGATTCTTTTTGCTTTTTAATTAACAAGTGTTTTCTTTTCAGCCTCTCATTTCTGGGGGGCAGGTAGGGCTGAGAATTAGCAAGCTGTTGCTTCACCTGTAATATAAATTCTCCATTGGGAAAGGTCAGGGTGACCCCTGGCTGGCATCACTGTAAACGGAGAAGAATCCAAGCCACAGGAACAAGCTAAGCGTCATGATCTCAGGAAGCATGGTTCTGAATCTTGGACCTTAGTATCAGGCAGACTGGGCCTCCAATACCTTCTCTATGGGCCAGAGATTGGGATAGGTTTATTATTACTAATAATAATACTAATACTAATAATAATTACTAATAATAAATAAATCCCGCCGCAGGGATTCGAACCACCGACCATGCAATCGGCAAGTCCTAGGTGCTGAGGTTTTACCCACAGCGCCACCCGCGTCCTTGTGTAACCACCACACAAATCTATCTGGAAGAATGCTCAATAAACAACCAGCCTAGAAGCTGCCCAAAATAACTTCCATGCCTGGGGGTGGAGATCAGAACTCAGGTCTCCCCAGTCCTAACCCATCTCTCTCACCAGTAGCACATTGTCTCTCATTTGGCATTTCCTTACTTTTTTACTCTGTTCTTCCCTGCATGAAGACTAAATAGCAGCCGCACCAGATCTTGGTCTACATCATTCCAAGCAATTTACAGGGAACCTGCACGCACCGCAAAATTCAGCAGACCCTCCAAGTGTCCCTGTGTTCCAGGCATAGTACTGAATTTACGGAAGCCATCCGGGTTTCGGATTTGATCCTGGAATGTCCCGCTTTTCCTTAGGACGTTAAAAGCAGAGACATCACCTTGCCGCCAAAGGTCTGTATAGTTAAAGCTATGGTTTTCCCAGTAGTGATGTATGGAAGTGAGAGCTGGACCATAAAGAAGGCTGATTGCCGAAGAATTGATGCGTTTGAATTATGGTGCTGGAGGAGACTCTTGAGAGTCCCATGGACTGCAAGAAGAACAAACCTATCCATTCTGAAGGAAATCAGCCCTGAGTGCTCCCTGGAAGGACAGATCCTGAAGCTGAGGCTCCAATACTTTGGCCACCTAATGAGAAGAGAAGAATCCCTGGAAAAGACCCTGATGTTGGGAAAGATGGAGGGCACAAGGAGAAGGGGACGACAGAGGACGAGATGGTTGGACAGTGTTCTCGAAGCTACCAGCATGAGTTTGCCCAAACTGCGGGAGGCAGTGGAAGACAGGAGTGCCTGGCGTGCTCTGGTCTATGGGGTCACGAACAGTCGGACACAACTAAACGACTAAACAACAAAACTTCCACTGGATAAATGTTGGAGGGTATGGAATAGGATGTCCCTATTTCCTTCGGAGAAATGTCGGAGGGTATGAGAATTGCACAGCACCATATTCACCCTGCAAAGCTCCCTAGCGAAGATCAGATTCTGGCCTCTTTCCTACATGAATGCATACGGGGAGAAACAGGACAAGAAGCCGTTTCTCGGAGGCCTCTGCATCCTTATGAAGGCTTTGCTGCGATTCCCCTGCAGGATTGGCTGGGGGATAGTAGAAGTTCCATGGACGTGGCCCATTGCCAGACTGAGCTGCGATGCTGCTTGTTTCCTAATCAGAGCTGAACAAACAAAGTGCTGATTGAGTCTAATGGTCCCTTTAATCAGTAAGCCTGGCGCTGACACTAGATTACAGTGTTTATAATTTACAGCTAATCACTCGCGTGGAAAAGGAAAATAAAAGAGAAGCCTCCATCCAACTAGACCAGCCGAAAGCCTTCGCATTAACAAGCCTGATTAGTGATTATTTCTGCGCAGGGAGCCAAATGCAAAAGGAGATGGTGGTGTATGGCTGTCCTCCCCTTTGAATTCTCTGGCTGCAGCTGCTATTTTCAATCCTAAATTGACAATTTAGACAGGCTGGCTGCGTGAGATGTTACAGCAGGGGTGGGAAACTGGATCTGGCTAGGGGAGCCAGATCTTGATCTCCCTGACCCACCCACCTTTCAATCACATGTCAGCATGATTCGGGGCGGGGGGCGGGGGGGATGACGACGACTGTTTTTTGCCCGCAAGGTTTGAAATAAAACCGTGCAGGAAAAGGCACAGCTTGCAAAATGCCAACATTCAGCTGATCATTGGAGATTGCAAAGCCGGGCGCACAGCACTCCACGTGACTCTGGCCAGGGACAGATGAAGACCCATAGAGCACAAGAACCGGGTACCCCTATGAGAAACCCACAAACAGCATTCTCCACACTTCTGAGTCCCAGCCACTGATGTTCAGAGGCATGCTGCCTCCTATAGAGCAGAGAGGCATCGTACCAGAAGCTGAGCACTGCATAGAATGGTAAAATGCACATGGTCACTTGCTATGGGATGGAGACAGAACGTTCCAGAGGTATTTGCTGGCGGGGTGGGGGGAGTCCAGATGGGACTTTGGATGTCCTGGGAGGAATCTAGACACATATAAAAAACGTTGTGAGAAGGCTTTAAAAACAAAAAAAAAAACTTTGAAAAAAAATACATTGAATGTGCCATAGCTCACCATTGCCATCTAGTGTCACATTTGTATAATGCACCTTACAACACACTTAAAAGGTTTGATTTGCAGCTGTATAGCCGAGTCCCTGATCTAATAAGACAGCAGGGACGGTTACTGCTTTTGCTGATCTGATGTAAGACTCTCTGGGAGCCCTTTTGGTTAATGAAATGGTTAAAAATGCTTAGCACACTTTTAGAGAAAAGCTTGGAAAACAAGCCACACGCTATGGCTTAGGACAAGGTTGAGCAGCCAGCAGTCCAACAATATATGGACAGCCACAGATTTCCCATCTCTGGGCTAGGGAGTCAGAAAGAAGTCATTTATGGCCATCGTAAAAAGAGTGGGATTGACGAACCAACTTGATTATATTTGAACCTTGAGTTACTGGTCCTCTTACCGTTAACGACAGTTCTCCGGGCTATCTCCCAGAGGACGAGGCCATATGCCCAAATGTCGGTCCTCTTGAAGGATTCAAAGCGGTCCATTTGAATCTGTTCATCTAAAACTTCAGGCGCCATGTAGCGTTTTGTGCCCACCCTTGGGTTGTTGCCAATGTCCAAGTAGTCGCTGCTCTGGGAATGCATGACTGCCAGACCTGAGAGAGAAACAGGGCCAATGGTTAGAAGAATGCTGGTCTATGATGGCAACTGATGAGTCTGTTACAACATCCTGCCAACTTATGCCAAGACTAAAGCATATACAGTGGTACCTCGGGTTAAGAACTTAATTCGTTCTGGAGGTCTGTTCTTAACCTGAAGCTGTTCTTAACCTGAACACCGCTTTAGCTAATGGGGCCTCCTGATGCTGCCGCGCCACCGGAACACAATTTCTGTTCTCATCCTGAAGCAAAGTTCTTAACCTGAAGCACTATTTCTGGGTTAGCGGAGTCTGTAACCTGAAGCGTATGTAACCTGAAGCGTATGTAACACGAGGTACCACTGTACTAGTAACTGAATTACCGTTTTAAGCCTGTCTGAACAAAGCTGCTGTACGTGTTACTCATCAACAAGTATTCTGAGTGAGTAAATGTTTTTATAATTTTACAAGACTGTTTGTGTGATTATTGTTTTAAGGGAGGGGGAAGCCGGATGGAATAGCAGGAGAATCCAGTTTGCCTTAAAGCACCCTGGATTACTAAAAGGCTAAAACTAGCCTATCTAAGCTTCCCTTTTAAGCTGCAAAGGGATGCACTCTGCTGGACTCACAAACACGAGAAAGGATAATATCCAATAAATATACCCTCACCTAGCAACTATTCACATCCCTACATGAAAACCACATCTCTATTCTGGCTTGGAGTGGATAGCAGCACTGACGGAGGAAGGCGGGTTCGGTGTGCACCGGGTGTCAGTCATGACAGCAGGTGACATCGCCATGCCACACCCCCCCACGCTTGCTGCGTGGGCAGTGCCCCCAGATGTTTGCTGCACGGGCGGCAGGTCGCATGGGATGATTCTGCCGCAGGCGGCAAACAGTGCCCCCACACGCTCGCCGTGCTGGTGGCTAGCCCCACCCGTGGGCCGGCTAGCTCCGCCCCCACACTTCCAGGTGCCGGGGCACGTAGCTCCGCCCCTGGCTAGCAGTCCACCTGCCTGCCTTTCTGTGTGCCCACTTGTGTGTAATCACTTGGAAAGGGGACATGGGTGGCGCTGTGGTCTAAACCACTGAGCGTCTTGGGCTTGCCGATGAGAAGGTCAGCGGTTCCAATCCCTGTGACAGGTTGAGCTTCCGTTGCTCGGTCCCTGCTCCTGCCAACCTAGCAGTTCGAAAGCACACCAGTGCAAGTAGATAAATAGGTACCACTGCAGTGGGAAGATAAACAGCGTTTCCATGCGCTCTGGTTTCCGTTGCACCAGAAGCGGTTTAGTCATGCTGGCCACATGACCCGGAAAGCTGTCTGTGGACAAACGCCGGCTCCCTCGGTCTGAAAGCGAGATGAGCGCCACAACCCCATAGTCGCCTTTGACTGGACTTAACCGTCCAGGGCTCCTTTACCTTTACCTTTCTTTTTAATCATTTGGAAGATGCGAGAGTCAGACTTCCCCATGACTCTCTTCTTCCCCTCAAAAGCTTCCTAACTCCTTAAGCAACGGTTGGACCAGCATTCCAGTGTCCCACCTCAGCACCTAAAGTCTACTTACCCAGATCAGCAATGCAGCACTGCTTGTTGTTCTTGACTAAGATGTTCCTACTCTTTAGGTCCCGGTGAGCAATGGCTGGCTTGCCCTGGGTACCAAAGATCTCCACGTGGAGATGGAGGAGGCCGCAGATGATGGAGTTGGCAAAGAGCAGGCAGCTCTCCACATCCAGCGCTGTGTGCTGAAGGTAGTCGTAGAGGGAGCCGTGCTCATGGTAGTGGGTGATCAGCCACAGCTGGGTGCTGGAGTTCCTGGAGGTCATGTCGGAGGCAATGAATCCTGCGGTCGGTTGAAGGAGGGCAGAAATCAGGAGTGGACCCCACACAAGGGCATGAATGATCAAGGTGCTTCAGAAAGAAATGCAAAATGGCTGCCTGTTTTCCCCTAAGGAAATTTTCAGAGGGGGTTGTGAGAATGAGGGGTAGGTGAAATAAGAGGGATGGAGGAGAAAGGGAGAGAAGCAGGAAAAGGTGAAGCTAGGATAGGCATAGGCAAATTCAGCCCTCCAGATGTTTTGGGACTACAACTCCCATCACCCCTAGCTAACAGGACCAGTGGTCAGGGATGATGGGAGTTGTAGTCCCAGAACATATGGAGGGCCGAGTTTGCCTATGCCTGAGCTAGGATAACTAGGAAGGGATTGCAGAGGAGCAGACAAGAGTAAAAACTGAAGGAGGGCACTGGTGAACTGAGAATAGATGCTATGCTGTTGGACCCACAGCCCATTATCCTCAATTCTCTGCTCTGACTGGCAGTAGGCCTCAAACTCATTCTTCACAATTCCAAACAGAGGCATCTCCCAGGTTTGCTATCTGTGACTGCACAGAGGCAGAAGGAGGAGAAAATAAAGGAGATGTGAAGTAGGGATGGACAAATACTGCCGTTTCGGTTTTGCTCAGTTCTTCATTTTTCCAGTCTTTTCAACCTTTTTGTTTTCAACCTTTCCGTACTGGTTTGTGACCTCTGTTTTCAAAAGCACCTATTAAAATTCACCAGCATTTTAGGGCTTATTTCTCCTAATATACAGATTTTTGTGGCAATTTTGCCCAATATATACATACTGCAAAGCACATTCATATTTTCCCCCAATACAATGCACTTCTGTATGTTATCTTCCCAAGCACACGCATTTTATGCACTTTGCCCTAGTATATTCATTTCTGTACACGTTACTTGGTTAGTGAAATGAATGGCAAAATTCAGAGATTGTAAATTTTGAAGACTATATATACAGTGGTACCTTGGTTCTTGAATGTAATCCATTCCCGAAGTCTGTTTGACTTCTGAAACGTTCGCAAACCAAGGCGCGGCTTCCGAATGGCGCAGGTGCCCCAGAAACAATAGCCGACAGCTGCACCAGACATTTGGCTTCCGAAAAATGTTCAAAAGCCAAAACACTTACTTCTGGGTTTTCAGCGTTCGGGAGCCGAAATGTTCGAGTACCAAGGCATTCAAGAACCAAGGTTCCACTGTATATATATGTAGTGCTTTTTTAAAAATAAAGGTGTTGGAACTGCACTCTGGCTAAAAAAACCAAACATTGACAATACTGATTTATCTGTGCAGACATTTCTGGAAAAACTGCCCCATTTCTGCTCACCTAAGATGTTGTCATGCCTCAGCAGCACAGTGTTGTAGATCTCTGTCTCACGGAACCACGACTGCTCATCCCGGGACGAGAAGATCTTGACCGCCACATTTTCCCCATGCCATGTAGCACGCCACACCTCCCCATATCGTCCTTTGCCTGTTTGGGGTGGGGGTGACAATTTTCACATGAGGTTTTGCTTACCTCCATCTAAGTTCATCATCCTGAGCTGGTGCATAAAGGTAAAGGTACCCCTGCCCGTACGGGCCAGTCTTGCCAGACTCTAGGGTTGTGTGCTCATCTCACTCTATAGGCCGGGAGCCAGCGCTGTCCGCAGACACTTCCGGGTCACGTGGCCAGCGTGACAAGCTGCATCTGGCGAGCCAGCGCAGCACACAGAACGCTGTTTACCTTCCTACTGGTAAGCGGTCCCTATTTATCTACTTGCACCCGGGGGTGCTTTCGACGGGAGCGCACCCCGCCGCGGGGATTTGAACCGCCGACCATGCGATCGGCAAGTCCTAGGTGCTGAGGTTTTACCCACAGCGCCACCCGTGTCCCTTGAGCTGGTGCATAAACATACACTAAAGAATGTTAGCATATATCTTTCCTTTTACCCATTTTTATCCATTGTTGTCTTTTTAATTGTATATATTGCTTAATTAGGGACACGGGTGGCGCTGTGGGTTAAACCACAGAGCCTAGGACTTGCCGATTAGAAAGTCGGCGGTTCAAATCCCGCGATGGGGTGAGCTCCCGTTGCTCAGTCCCTGCTCCTGCCAACCTGGCAGTTCGAAAGCACGTCAAAGTGCAAGTAGATAAATAGGTACCGCTCCGGCGGGAAGGTAAACGGTGTTTCCGTGCGCTGCTCTGGTTCGCCAGAAGCGGCTCAGTCATTCTGGCCACATGACCCGGAAGCTGTACGCCGGCTCCCTCGGCCAATAAAGCGAGATAAAGGCCAATAAAGGGTAATAATGGAGATCTCTCAAGCTGACCTGGTTTATGGTGATCTGCAAAACTGGCAACCTTTGCTTGGAAAGTCCATTCCCCTAAAATACAGGTCTCGCACAGCATGAAGAAAACCACAGGCCAGCACAAGGTGTGGTCATATCCAGTGGCGTAGCGTGGGTTGTCAGCACCCGGGGCAAGGCAAGTAATTTGCGCCCCCTAACCTGTGGATTTGCCCTAACCCCAGATGTTGCGCCCCGTGCGGCCGGCCCCCCCTGCACCCCCCACGCTACGCCACTGGTCATATCAACTGTGCTAATTGGATCTGGGCTTTGAGCATGGGATTTTCTGTCCCCAACCAAAAACTGGAAGGGTGTCAGTTGCATAACTGAGCATGAGAGACAGACAACGTTTAGAAGATTCCTTATTGCTGTCAATACACATGCAATTTTTCCTCACTCAAAATGAGTGATGGATAAAGTGGTTCTGAAGGTACCAGTTCAGTCACTGTAAAAAGTGTAGAAGCCCAACTGTGATGACAGCAACTCGTGTCTCTTCCCTGCAGTCCCTGGAATAGTTTTTTGAACTGTTTTCAAAATGTTTGCTTAAAAAAACAAACATCCTTGAACACATGAACAAATTAAGTTCACCTTTAAGGTAAGCATTTGAAGCCAAACTGGTGTTTGATTCATAGGTGTGTTTTGTCACAGAAATTGAAAATAATAATAATAATAATAATAATAATAATAATAATAATAATAAAATTATTTTTACCCTGCCCATCTAGCTGGGTTTCCCAGCCACTCTGGTGGCTCCCAACAGAATAATAATAATAATTAGAAAGCGACAAAACATCAAACTTTAAAAACTTCCCTAAACAGGACTGGATGCACAATCTGTGTGAACAACACCACCTTTCTTGGGCTTGCTATTTGTGATGGCAATTCCACACAATGCTGAGCTAAGGAATGGCTCGGGAGACCAGAGTTTAGGAGAGAGCTGGAAAATATGATCCTGTTTTCACACGCGTTAGGAAGTTCTCGGTTGGTGACAATTTGCACACCGGGTTTCTTGCTGCTTACCAACGCATTCGACCAGGCTGATCTGCCGAGCGACGGTTCTTTGGACGAGGAAGGGGAGCCCAGAGCCGCTCCCGGTGGTGCAGTCATCGTTCAGCAGGTTCTAAATGCAATTTGAAACAAGCGGTCACACACAGAGGAATGGCAAGCGAGACACACTTCAGGGAAATGGCAACAGCTAACAACGATCTACCAAGCCATATTCAATGCACTTTGTCACAGAACCACCCTGAGATCTACGGCTGAAATTGCATAAAGAATTAAATAATCAGAATCAGAATAATGAGAATAATTTCAATGCTTTCAATATCTGCCTTTCTCGTCCCAAACAAGCTCTACTCTAGAACGCCGATTTCAAAAACCGGCGCTGTAGAACTCTGTGACGTCATACACTCTGTGGCAGTTGTGGCAGTTGGTACAGTGGTACCTCGCAAGACGAATGTCTTCCAAGATGAAAAACTCGCAAGACGAAAGAGTTTTTCATTTTTTTGAGGTGCTTCGCAAGACGAATTTCCCTATGGGCTTGCTTCGCAAGACGAAAACGTCTTGCAAGTTTGTTTCCTTTTTCTTAACACCGTTAATACAGTTGCGACTTGACTTCGAGGAGCAACTCATAGCACGCGGTGTGGTAGCCTTTTTTGAAGACTTTGGTGATTTTTGAAGCTTTCCAAAACTTCTTTTGCAGCCATTTGGTAAGTTAAACTTTTAAAACTTTTTTTGGGGTTTTTGGATTTTGGGTTGGGGTGTTTGGAATTCAAGGACTTGGTGTTGGGGAGGGGTTTGCAAGAATCTGGAAGCTTGTGTGTTTTTTTCTGCATTTTTATGACCATTGGGGCACTCTGCTGTTGTTGCAGTTGTCCCCCAGAGTCTTAGAAAATGTATGTACAGTACACTTTGGTGATTTTTAAATGCTTTTCTGTCATGTTTAGAAACTTAAATTATTGTTCCTTCAATTTTTGAAATGCTCTTTACAGTATGTGTGACTTTAAAGTGACTTAATAAACTCTTTTTGTACCAAATTTGGCTTTGTTTGGACTTTTTTTGACCATAGGAACGCATTAATTGATTTTCAATGCGTTCCTATGGGAAACCGTGCTTCGCAAGACGAAAAATTCGCAAGATGAAAAAACTCGCAGAACGAATTAATTTCGTCTTGCGAGGCACCACTGTATAGTTATGGCAGTTAGTTGAACAGTCCTAACAGTTAGAGCAGCGGGTTTGCTGCTGCCTGCCTCAGAGCCAGAGTACCATTCGGTGTGTCAATGTTAGTTAGCCTTAGATGCAAATCTACGTAAGATATTTTAGCAACTTAAGAATCACCTACCTGAATTGTATACAGTGATACCCCAGGTTACATATGCTTCAGGTTACACACTCCGCTAACCCAGAAATAGTGCTTCAGGTTAAGAAGTTTGCTTCAGGATGAGAACAGAAATCGTGCTCCGGCGGCGCGGCAGCAGCAGGAGGCCCCATTAGCTAAAGTGGTGCTTCAGGTTAAGAACAGTTTCAGGTTAAGTACGGACCTCTGGAACGAATTAAGTACTTAACCTGAGGTACCACTGTATTTAATCTGCCAGTGCAAGTACATCAAGTCATATGTTATTTAAATTTAAAAAGAGAGTGTCTGGCATAGTTTTTATAGGTGGGAAAGAGAGAATTAAAGTGTCAAACGACCGAGGGCTGCCTTTTTAAAAACAATTTTTTAATTTAATTGATTTTTTAAATTGATTTTTAAACAAATGCAATAACTATTAAACGTCCAGCAGTAAATCTAATGGTGTTTGATTGTCTCTAGATATAGACTTCACATTCAACAAACATATTACTTTATGTAACCCATCCACTGAGAACATTGAGCGGTTGGTATAAGAAGGTCTTGATTTTGGTTAAAGAAAGGGGTCCACATTTCTTGGAAGGTTTCTCTATTTGTTATGCCTTTAATTGCCTTCCTGAGTGAGACCCAGGGCTGTTTTCTGCAAAACTCTGCTAAATAGGAACTAAATTCCCACAGGAAAAGCAGGATGAGGGGAAAAGTCACAGGCCCATGCAGCAATAGACTGCCTGTACTCTGAGCAGGTGGTCTACCTGCCAGTTAACTTTCCCACAATGCCCTGGGGTGAATCAATTCCAGGGTCATTGTGGAAATCTCAAATGGCGGCTGTTCCCAGCTATACCCGGCAGAGATCAGAGCACCAGGCATTTATTTTTAAAGGAGGATCCATCAGTGAGAGGACCTGCTGGAAAGTTTGGGCTCAAAGGATTCTTCCCTAAGGATTCTGGGATCTGCTGGCACTGATCCTGGTTTGAAGTGCAGCCAGGAAGCTCAAACCAAAACCTTTCACCAGCCCACCACCAGCAGTGAAGCGAGATTCTGGGAGATCACAGAAGCTCAAGGGACTTCAGGTGAGCTCACATTCCAATGCCGGGTGGGACAGACGTGCTATTACAGTGGTACCTCGGGTTACAGACGCTTCAGGTTCCACTAACCCAGAAATATTACCTTGGGGTTAAGACCTTTGCTTCAGGATGAGAAGAGAAATCGCGCAGCGGTGGTGTGGCGGCAGTGGGAGGCCCCATTAGCTAAAGTGGTGCTTCAGGTTTAGAACAGTTTCAGGTTAAGAACGGACCTCCAGAACGAATTAAGTTCTTAAGCCGAGGTACCACTGTACTGACTACAGTGGACACTCAGGTTGCGAACGTGATCTGTGTGGGAGGCATGTTCGCAACCCGCAGCGACGCACCTGCGCACGCGCGGGTTGCAATTTGGCGCATGCACAAAGAGCGACTTAGCGCTTCTGCGCATGCGCGACCGCCGAAACCCGGAAGTAACTGGTTCTGGTACTTCTGGGTTTTGACGTGTCCGTAACCTGAAAAAACACAATGTGAAGCGTCTGTAACCCGAGGTATGACTGTACTTACTTTTAAGGTACTGTCACCAAGCGTGGATGCCTTCAGTATGAAATCCATGTCCTCCAGATCGTCAGACCTCAGCCGTATCCGTCTCTGCCGGCTCTGGAACACCTTCCATACAGACAGCCCCACCAACGCAGCGAGAACCAGAAAAGCGAAGAGGGGGACCAGGGTCATCAGAAGAAGGTTCTTAAGAGAAGGACTCTCTTCTTCAGGCTGATTTTCTTCACCTGGTTGGAAATAAAGGAAATGAACTCAGTTACTGTCACTTCTCTAATGGTGAGGAGTCCCCTTGGCACTGTCACTTTTCATTTCTTGGTACGGAAAGTATTATTTCAAAATAATTTTTAAAATTGATTTTCTTTTCTCATAACAAATATCCAATAGCATTGCAAAATATTCATTTTCCAATTTCCCCCCTCCCTGTTGACTTCCCTCAGCTTCCATTTCTGGTTTATTACATCAGATGATACATTCTGCTGATTGTATATAATACTGTGTTATCATATTGTTATACTTCTTGTCCTCTATAAATAAAATGGTAAATGTTTATTTAAATCCTGCCAAGGAGTCCATTTTTGTTGTTGTTTCTGCAAATATATTGTAAAGGGTTCCCATTCTTTTTCAAAATCACTATTGTCCTTTTCATGCAGTTTGTCCGTTAACTTTGCTAACTCTGCGTAGTTCATCAACTTTTCTTGGCCTTGTTCTTTTGATAGTACTTCTCTGGTCTTCTAAAGGTAAAGGGACCCCTGACCATTAGGTTTAGTCGTGACTGAATCTGGGGTTGCGGCACTCATCTCCTTTATTGGCTGAGGGAGATGGCGTACAGTTTCCGGATCATGTGGCCAGCATGACTATGCCGCTTCTCGTGAACCAGAGCAGCGCATGGAAACGACGTTTACCTTCCTGCCGGAGCGGTACCTATTTATCTACTTGCACTTCATGCTTTTGAATTGCTAGGTTGGCAGGAGCAGGGACCGAGCAACTGGAGCTCACCCCGTCGCGGGGATTCGAACTGCCGACCTTCTAATTGGCAAGCCCTAGGCTCTGTCGTTTAACCCACAGCGCCACCCGCATCCTTTCTGGCCTTCTAGTTTTGTGCCATTAATATTCTTGCTGCTGTTGTAGCATACATATATAATGTCCGTTTTTCTTTCGACAACTCTTGTCTTAAAATAGCTAACAAAAAAAGCTTCTGGTTTTTTAAAAAAACAAATGTTATTTTAAACATTTTCTTCCCAATTCATTGTACAGGGTGAGTCCTTTAAAAGAGGCCCGTGGATACAGAGTACACATGTTCCATGAGGCCTCTTTTAAAAGACTCACCCTGTATATAATTTCGCTTTTTTTAAAAAAAATTATCTTGTAATCCCACCACATGTGGTAAAATGTACCTTCCCCTTCCTTACATCCTAGTACAGAAAGTATTGATCTGATATGTGGAGATCTTCCCTATTCTGATTAGTTTAGGACTGTTCTAGAAGGTTTGTTTCTATGTGAGAGAAACAGGAAGAAGGTTTCTGATGGGTTATTTCTCTGGGAAGCTGTAGATAGCTGGTTTAAATTGGTTCTGTTATGTTTCTGTCAAGGTCGTACTGACTATAATAGTTAGACCAGGAGAAGCACGGGTCTCATTCACTTTCTACCTCTTTCTTCTGGTGTTCTGTTCTGTATGCTTAGTGTTAAGGTTAAGTCTTATTATCAATTTATAAGTTTTATTGTTTTTTGCTGCAACTGGATTTTTATGGACCATGCCAATCCTGAATGTACTGGATCTGTGACCATTATGTTCATTTACCTTCAGTATCAGTAAAATTCTGCTGGATGAAGTACAATTACCTCTTTGTCTATTTTTTGGAAACTCTGCTATGTGTTTAAGTTTTTTTCCTGCTCCCCACCTTCAATGGGCGACAGACATTCACTCCAATCAAATGGCAATCCAGCTGCTACCTGTGGGATCTCCTACCTATGGGAGCTAATAATAATCCATAGCTGTCAACTTACAGATTTGAAAATAAGGGACCAGCAGCCTTGAAAATAAGGGATCAGGAGCCAAAATAAGGGATTTTCCCAACACAGGTATGTTCAACTTCTGAGCCCCTCCGAGCCAAAGGCAGAAAGCCCAGCCAGTAGCCAAACAAAGCCTCAGCGGTGGTTCCCACAGCGCAGCAACCTGGCAAAGGGGATGCAGCAAGGAAAACCACCGTCACCTCTCCGCTGGGAAGCGCTGAGCAAAGGCGAGTCCTTAGGCAACGCGGCTGATTTGATCAGCACAAGGCATGCAAGCTCCACCCCCCAGTCATTCTCAGACTCCTTATTGGGTGAGCAACGCAGCCAAGCAACACAGTTGGAGCCTCCCTCCTCCCTGGCCGGCAGGGAGGGAGGGAGAGGAGCTGCTTCCTTTGAAACCCGGGAAATGTAAGGGACATCATCAATTGGGGACAGCAGCGGGACACGGCGCTGGGATAAGGGACTTTCCCGCCAAATAAGGGACGGTTAACAGCTATGTAATAATCCTCGAGGCTAGGTCCCTGCAAGAGAAAGCATAGCTGTACCTGGTAACTGGATGGTGCGATTCAAATTACACATGTCGGTTGAGCAACATATTATGGCAGTATTTGTCGTGTGGGAGCCTCTGCAGAACTCAGACATGGATTGAAGGCATCCTTTCTTGTGGATCATTACCCCCTCGGTCAGATGCTTGCTCACAAAGCACAGCTTCCCTGTACAAGTGCTATTGAGACAGTTTGGATGTTCACACACACAGTTCACCAGATCTGCAGGAAGACAAAAGAAGGACAGCGTTTCCCCTGATGTTTGAGCCTTGATTCTTCCCTGCCCAGTAAGGATGATGGAGAAACGGGGTTCAGATTTTGCCACAAACCTACCTGATTTGTATTTTCCAAAACAAGATGTGCAAACTGAATCACAGCTAGCCTTTGAAATCTACACGTCTCTGAATTTTGGGATGCAGTTCCCCAGCCAAATTACGTGTACAAAAACGTAAAAATTCAGGGGAAGTGTGCATAAAATGCATACACACACATTAGTAAAAAATTCCCCTGCAACAAGCATCAGCTGAGCCGAGTCAGGGGCCTGAGCCTGCCCTGGCTCCAGATGCGGGGATTACCTCGTTGCCTCACTTACAGCTGCTCCACTACCAGTTGGGTCAGGAGAGGCTGAGGCGGCCCCTGGGTCTAGTAACCCACCGACATCTCCCGAGCTGCAGAGACTGAGGTCTGAGAGAAGGAGAGACCTGAGTACTCGCAGGAGGAGTGCTCACCTTCGGGAGAGACAGGGAGGTGAGTCACTGGGGGATCAGGACCGGCCGTTACCCCGTCAGAGACAAAAGGCTGCCGGACCCTGCCCCACATTCAACATTGCTGCTTGCTGGAACCTGCCTGTTAGCCTGTGCCTGACCTAGCCCAGTTTCCTGCCTGGGCCCTGTTGGACAGACACAGTGGTGCTATCCTCCGGGGGGAGGTCCAATTGCGGCGTGGCGGTGCGATTTGCTCTGGGGGGATTTTGTCGTCCCCCCCAGGATGGCACCTGGGGTGTGTCGCCTCCACCGCACCTCCCTTCCTACGCCCCTGTCCATACTCCTAGCCCAACCAAAGAACACTACAGCCACAATATGCTCAGTATTCTGTTTAAAAGGTCCCGGAGGCAGGAACAATCGAAGTGGTACATACAGTAGGACCAAGCACTTGATAGAGCACCCTTGCTAAAACTCAGGAAGTCTAAGTGCGATCAGTTTCCCCCTGGGTGAGACTGCAAGACCACCTGAGCACAGGGCCGGCTCTACTACATACTCTCCAACATTGCTCTGATGAAAATAAGGACAGGATGTTGAATATAATATATGCTGATTTGGGGAGTATCCTGAGCAGCTGTAGCTACTCAGCCTAACGGATCACTGCCTCAGTGGGGCCTGGCCCTGAAGCTAAGTGTCTCTAAGAAACAAACAGTTGTTTGTTTCTCTTTGCTCTTTGGCAAACAGCTGTTTTTGCAAGGGGGCCTGGTGCTAAAGTCTGTGCCTCTCCCCACTCTGCCTGACACAACTGTCTCCCACTCACCTTTTCCTCCAGCTGCCTCGATGTTTCTTGGCAGGCTCATGATGGCCACGAAAAGGCCAGCGATAGCTCTTTGCCGCATTGTCTCTACAAAAAGGGCAGAATGAGTTAAGGAAGGGGATCCTGGAAGAACATTTCAGACACATAGGATAACAGCATTTGTCTCACCAAAGATATGCTACATGGAGATTTATACATTCACCTATTTTTTAAATGTATTCAAGAAGAGCCTGCCCTAGAACATCTGGGGCATGGAGCCGAACAAAGGGGAGGTGACCACAGTCTTAATTTCTCAGGACCTGGTGTGTGAAGTTGAGTGTTGTTGAACAGATGAGGAACACTGACCACAGTGTTATACAGTTGTACCTTGGATCCCAAACGCCTTGCAAGTTGAATGTTTTGGCTCCCGAACGCCGCAAACCCAGAAATGACTGTTCCGGTTTGCAAACTATTTTTGGTAGCCAAACGTCTGATGGGGCTTCTTCAGCTTCCAGTTGGCTGCAGGAGCTTCCTGCAGCCAATCAGATGCTGTGCTTTGGTTTCCAAATGTTTTGGAAGTCAAATGGACTTCTGGAACAGATTCTGTTTGACTTCCAAGGTACGACTGCATACTTATAGATTTGGGAGTGGGACCCCCCTAAACCCTAGAAATTAATAAATGGTAGGATTTTGATTATTTGGGATATGAAAGGAGAAAGACAAGGTGCAGAGGAATTCCTGAGCAAGTGTGATGGCCTGGGAATCCGATTCAGAGGATGAACCGGAGGAATCCCAGCCTGCACAGGAGTCCCCGCCTCCAGGGCCGGCTGAACTGGGGCAGGGCCTTGATTCTGAGGCGCCTGCACCTGTGCCGGATCCTCAGGAGCAGGCACCAGGTGAATCCATTCTGGCTCCAGAGGTAGTTGAGGACTCAGTGCCTACAGGTGAGTCTCCCCCAGGGCCCAGTAACCCTTCAGCCTCTCCTGAACTGCAGAGGCTCAGGGCAGAGAGGCGAAGGGAACTGGTTTCTCCCAGGAGGAGTGCTCGCCTTAAGGCCAGGAGAGGCGGGGCTCCTGGGGGCCGGGACCACCCCTGGCCTCAGAGAAGATAAAGGCCAGTCAGCCCGGTCCCAGGTTGCGGGAGCAACGTCGTCGTTGAGTACCTGCTCCTGTCCGGACCCAGACCTAACCCTCCAGTGTTCCTGTCCCCGCTCGGCTTCCTGCTTCGGACCTCGCCCCACTCCTTGTGAACTGTTTCCAGGCTAGTGACCCAGGACCGGACTTCGACTACTTCAACGGTAACCTTCCCCCTGGGACCAGCACAGCAAGCCTATGCAAAATGACTTGGCCAAGCTAGGACCATTACGGAAAAAATACAGGGCCTTTGAGAGCCACTAGCAATGCAAGAGAACTCTCCTTCCCCCTTGCCCTGAGGTGTGAACAGAGATTGGGAGTTTGGAAGGTTGCCAGGGTAACTGGGTGTGAGGTGACAGGAAAAGAGTTTTTAGTGAGTGTTCTGGGAAGGAAAAAGGAAGACCGGGATCCATCTTGGGCAGGCTGGCTGAAGGCAGGCTGCAGTGCTGTGGGGGAAAGGATGCCAGTATGGTTAACCAGCAGAATCAGGTCACTATTAGAAGCAAGAAGGCATCCTTCAGAGAACAGGATGTCTTGTCCAAATGAGAACAGCACTTCTCGCTGTTCACGTTTAGCACAAAGGTGTTGGGCAGGGAGCTATTCTGCAGATGGGTCTGCAAAGAGAAGGCAGGCTTTTGAGCAGCCACTGTCTTCTATTCACTGACTCTTCATGAAAAAACCCTATCTGGAGATGATGCTGTGCTAACTTCGAAAACCTGCCCATTGCATGTTCTGAGCTGCAATTGTGGGTATACAGTCGTACCTTGGATCCCAAACACCTTGCAAGTCGAACGTTTTGGCTCCCGAATGCCGTGAACCGGTGTTCCGGTTTGCGAACATTCTTTGGAACCTGAACGTCCGACTGGGCTTCCGCGGCTTCCGATTGGCTGCAGGAGCTTCCTGCAGCCAATCGGAAGCTGCACCTTGGTTTCCGAACGTTTTGGAAGTCAAACAGACTTCTGGAACGGATTCCGTTTGACTCCCGAGGTACCACTGTACTGGTTTTCACTTTTGTTGTTTTTAAAGGAGAGAAGAGTTTCTAATTTTGCTTCTTGGAAAGATCTGGCCTCAAAGGGTGCTGAGTTCATCCTGCACTGTTGTGGGATTGGATTCTTTTTCGTGCTACGCTGCCTGGCTGTGCTCCAAGCTGTCCCTTCTGTATCTCCATGAGCTGAGGCCAGCTGCTGATTTCAGGGACTCGGGGGTTTTGTCGCAGGCTTATCACTAACATAAAAATACTCTTTGCAGGAATCCAGAAATGTTCCAGCTGCTCCACTGAAGAGACAGGAGTGGGAAGGAGGTTGGGTGGGCTTTTCTGTTTTGTTTTTTTGGATTGCTTGTTTGTTCATTTCCTTGTGAAACAGAAACTCTTGCCAAGCTAAACCCATGGGAGTCTTGACCTCACCCATGCCCCTTCCAATTCCTGCAAGCTTCCCCTTCGTCAATACAGGCAAAATTTGGGTCCTGAGAGTCTGAGACCGTTCTTGTCCTGCGTCGCCCACAAATTCCTAGCATAAACAAGTCACCACTCAGCTTCCTGCTATTCAAGAATTCCAGTGTGTAGCCAGGGCGTTGCAGCCCGGACAGGAATCAAGATTGTTTAGATTCTGTCCTTGATGTTTGGGGGTGGAAAGGGAGATATGCAAGCAAAGGGAGTTCCACCAGTCTGCAAAGATCTATCAGAGAAAGGCATATGCTGCACGGCTCCAGCCTTGGAAGAATAGAAACTCCCCCAGAAACAGCTTGCTTTGTTTTTGCCGGTGGAGGGGAAGTTGAGGCTAAAGCTCAGAGAACATTGGCCTGTAAATAGTGATATCAGAAAGGAAGACAAAGATCAAGATCCTGTGCGGAGGGAAGGTTGGCTCCTTGCAAATCAGAAGTCTGTATCGAGAGCTGGTCCTCCTCTCTCTTCTCTGGCACAACGCCCCCCCCCCCTTCTCATTTCGGTCTTTAGGCTCCTCCAGACAACCTGTTTACTGAGCATGCACCTTGATTTGCTTGCCCAAAGCATATACAGAGGTTAGATTGAGCATTTGTTCTGGTTTGTTTGCATGGAGGTTATACACAGGGCTTTTTTCAGCCGGAACTTGCAGGAACACAGTTCTGGCACCTCTCAGGTGGGCACCATTGCCATTATAACAGACCTTCCAAGTGTCCCTGTTTTCCAGGGACAGTCCTAGATTTACAAAAGCAGCCCTGGTTTCTGATTTGATCCCAGAATGTCCCGCTTTTCCTTAGGCCAGGGGTGTCCAAACTTTTTTCAAAGAGGGCCAGATTTGATGACGTGAACATGCGTGAGGGCCGACCAAAGTTGTTGACCTATTTTTAGGATTGAAGTTGTTGAGTTTTGGGGGATTTAACCACAAAGTTGTTGAGCTTTTTTTTAGGATTGAGGTTGCTGACCTTCTTTTAGGGTTGAAGTTGTGGAGGTTTTTTTAGGATTTTACCCCAGGAAATAGACTGTCACAGGGGCCGGATTAAACCAACCAGTGGGCCAAATTAGACCCCGGAAACGGACTTTGCTCATGCCGGCCTTAAAGGTAAAGGGACCCCTGACCATTAGGTCCAGTCGTGACCGTCTCTGGGGTTGCGGCGCTCATCTCGCTTTACTGGCCGAGGGAGCCGGCGTACAGCTTCCGGGTCATGTGGCCAGCATGACTAAGTCGCTTCTGGCAAACCAGAGCAGCGCACGGAAACGCCGTTTACCTTCCCGCCAGAGCGGTACCTATTTATCTACTTGCACTTGACGTGCTTTCGAACTGCTAGGTTGGCAGGAGCAGGGACCGAGCAACGGGAGCTCACCCCGTTGCGGGGATTTGAACCACCGACCTTCTGATCAGCAAGTCCTAGGTTCTGTGGTTTAACCCACAGCGCCACCCGCGTCCCTCATGCCTGCCTTAGGCCATCCATATTTTCATCAGAGAAATGTTGGAGGGTATGTTATAAGAGGACAAGGGAGGCATTCATGGTGAGTTCTGGCACCTCTCTTTCTATAAAAATAGCACTGGTTATACAACCATGAGCATCCACTTGATCTGCTTGCAGCAGGACTGTTATACGCCTTCCATAACAATTAGTTCATTCCACACCTTTGAAAGCATTTCTCCATCACTCAAGTGTACCTCCAGACTGTGACTCTTTTTGCAATATTCAGGTGCATACCAGAGCTTTGCACAGGCCATTATGGATTAAAGGGCTCTGTTTCCCCAGCACAACCAATCCACTTTAAAAGAGAATTGGGCTTTTTGCGGCCTGGAAAGTGTGGGAGGAACAAATGATTAACGGGAATGTATGTAAACATAAATCAGGATAAATACTCATTGTCGTACAACTGCCCCGCTGACAAATCAGACTGGATGCTCAATAGAGACATTTTCTGTCTATCATCTTTCCTCCCACTCTGTTCTCTATTTCTGCTCATTTTCATCCTCTTGGACAGCCCGGCAGCTACAACACTTCAGCATTGCCTTTGCTCCAGCTGCTGAATCCCAGATTTTTCTGTCCGGGATGGGGAACCTTGTGACCTCGTCATTTCACAACTGGCCTGATCTCTAGTTCTCATAGACACTGTCTGCATCGAAGTCTCTGGAGGATGCGCCAAAGAGGCGCCTTCTTGTGTCTACTGCTCTCCAGATCCTTCTTGGATGAGACCAGGGAATCGTCAAATCCAGCATTTCTATAAATCAGCTCCATCGCAGCCCGTTTAAAAAGGTAAAGGACCCCTGGACAGTTAAGTCCGTCAAAGACGACTATAGGGTTGTGGCGTTCATCTTGCTTTCAGGCCGAGGGAGCCGGTGTTTGTCCACAAACAGCTTTCCGGGTCATGTAGCCGGCATGACTAAACCGCTTCTGGCACAACATGACCCCATAACGGAAACCAGAGCGCACAGGAACGTCGTTTACCTTCCCAACGCAGCAGTACCTATTTATCTACTTCAGTGGTGTTCAAACTTTTTTTCCAAAGAGGGCCAGATT